TGCACATATCGTTGTAGGTTCTGCTGTTGGTTCAGCCTTTCACAGATACAAACATAAAGTGAAAAAAAAAAAGAGGAAAGGGTACACATACTGGGGGTTAAGTATCGTTGGGGCGTGAAAACGGGTGAGGAATAGCTCGAGGTGTAATACCCAATCCTCCTCTCAGGCAACTCGAGTGGTCATACACGTACACAATTTGCATACATATCTGGCTTGTGTATTATTTGCATTTTAGTCATCTCTCAACTATGCTGAGGCTCTTCGGTTATTGTCGTTGTCGTGTTAAAACCGATTAGCTGGGGGTTTCAATTATTATAGCATTTGAATTCATCACTACAGGGACACACTCCATTTTTCTTTGAAATAAATTTTATCGACTTTTTACGACACGCTATATAACTTATAATAATAATAATAATAATGGTAACTTATAATAAATGAATTTTGTGATTACAAGCAATTGCTTTCAGGGAGTGTTTTTGAAAATAAATAGATTCAAGTATTGAATTGAAAATCGAAAATTTTCGGCTGCATTAGTCGTGGAGTTTATTAATGGCAATTATTGCAATTGTTGGAATTATTGCGCGATCTCCTCGGGTGATTGAGTAAATGATAAATCAGTGAGAGGTTCGGGAATTATATTAAATAGTTAGTACATGGCTTCAGGTGCATTCCACGGGCTTCGGAATAGTGAATGAATCATGTGCATTCATTGACAGAATTCACTGAGCTATCGTATTTTGATGGGAAAAAATCATTTCCGTTGTATTTAGACTCCATTTGTTGACATTATTCCTTTTTGAGGTATGGTGTATTGACTCGTCGAGATAAACTGCCGAGGCACACTCTACTTGATATCCCCGGGGCCTCAGTACAAGGGATTAATCCGCACACAACTCATTCGAACAAATGTAAAGGGCAATCCCACGTGGGTCTAACATTACCTCTCAGTTTAATTACCATTTTTTATTTGTCACCAAATATCACGATCGCGTATTTCTAGAAAATTTTTTCGAAAAATCTATTTCCCTTCGAGAAAAAATCAAATTCTTTTTTTTTTCTTACTGACAGAGTGGAGAAAATTCCCGGAAATTTTCCGCGAATTTCGACTATTGGGAAATTAAAAAAAAATTTTCAATTACAAAAAATTTAAAAAAATTTAAATTGAGAAAAAATTTTTAATTGCGATTATTTCGCTTATCGTATTTCTAAATCATGTCCCATCATTTATCGACAGCTCGAACAATAATTCATGAAATTAATCCAAGGTAATTAATTAAAATTAAAAATTGATTACTTCGGCTATTGATTATTCGTGAATGAAAATAATTGCAAACAGAAAATTCTATGGAATTCTTTTTTATTTGACATTTCAGGTGTAATTTCCCAGCGTTTTCAGATAAATATTTTAGTAACGGAATAATAATTTGTCAGTTGAATTTATCGACACAGCAATTTCAATCCGTTTTTCCGTATTTGTACGTATGTGCAGTACCTCGACCTCCGCATTGGAGAGACCAGTCACGCGTGTCACGCTCTCGTGAAATGCCTGACGAGACATTACAAACTTGAGAAAATGATGAAAGTCTTGCGTAAATACTCATCCGAACCCCGACCAAAAAAATCCGCCTGAAAATTCCGACTGCACCACCTCACCAGCTAAATAATCATCACCCCCCACCACCCACTAATTATCAAACTAGCCAAAAAAAAAGACACCCCAATAAATAATAAAACGCAATGCATGTTCATGCAAATGAACTCCGAGAATGAGGAAATAATCAATAGCCATTACCACAAAACCATCGGTAGAAGGAGTCAATTTTTTATTAACTTAAATCAATCGCCATTGGCATAAATTATTCTTGTTTCATCTCGATGCAATAAACAAACGATAAAGACGTTAAACTGCCGACAGTCTGGGCTTAATCCGTAATAAAATGAAAAAGGAAAAAAAATGATGATTATGATGAGGGGGTGGACGGGGAGGAGAGAGAGAAGAGGGAGAAGAGGGAGAAGAGGGAGAAGAGGGAGAAGGAGGAAGAGGATGGGAAAATATTTTTTCACCACTTTATGCTACATTATATCGAGTCTGAAGGTACATGTATAACATGCGTGCAAGTCTCGGATGGAAGGTAGAAGGCATTAGCCAAGGTAATTCGATCTGTCGGTGGTTGGGTTGTTAGGGGGTAGGGGGATCGAAAAGTCAGCGAAGGAGAAATAAAATTCAGTGGACAGAAGGGCCCATCGTATGGACGATGGTCTTCTATATCCATTGGCTTGTACAAACGGGATATCCAGCTGAGATTATAGCCAGTTAAGTGTCCTGGCCGAAGGGGGGGCTATTGCCGTGCATTTCTCGTGATTAGCTTCCTTTCCTTGGTAGCTATACTTTTCAAACGCATTACATTTCTCAAATCGATGATCGATATTAAGTGCAAGCCGAGGGTTTTAATCACTGAATTATTATCCCACTAATTACCGATTTACCAAATATTTTCTAATTGTGCAATATTTTTTTTATCAAGTCCGATGCGCTGTGATGTCATGTTACGATATATTTTTTAATTAATTGTTGGGATTGTTGGGATTGTTGGGATTGTTGGGATTGTTGAATGACAAATAATGTAAGATTGAATGTTACGCACCGCGGAGGAAATGAAAATTTCTCGAGGTTTAAATCAGTAAATAATGTTTTTCCCTTCACACGCTTCACTTGCCATTGTTATCCATTCAAGATGAACTCCATTATTCTCCAGAATTTTTTTTGAATGCTCATAATCCTCGGAGGTAAATGGGCCCTATCACTGTCGCATTAACAAAGCACGCGACTGACGTGGTTATGACGGCAACAGGATACCTCTGGTCTTCCACCCATGTTCACCCCCATCATCCTGGCATTGGAGAAGCCATGGTAGAAGCATCTCTCCAAATAATAATCATCGTTGTATACATGAATTATTTCCTCTTTATTATCCTTTTTCACAAATTTAATGAATAGAAATTCTCGGTGGATAGAATGCATCATCGAATCTGAATATGGATTTTTTTTTTCTCATCCACTTGGCGCTTTGTCGAGCTGTCTCCACCCACCCCTTGGGACCCAGACCTCATCCCTTTTTTTCTCTCTTTATATTTTTCTACTTTTTTATCCCCATTGCGGATCGATTATACTTTCATCGTTTCTACTCTATTAATTGGAACAAATCCCATTTTTAATTGATACACATGCATTCAGATACCAAAAAAATTGGTAGAAATAAACAATAAGATTATGAATAATCAATCGAATTGTGTAAAAAATGGGAAAATGAAAAAATCTCGGCAATAATTTTTGAATAAAATTACACCAAACAAAATTTATTGTTGGAAATCTTTTAAATAATTTGTCCTCTGGTCGAATTTGAATAATTTTGAGATTTCGGAGTTCTTGGAAATATTTTTATCTTCTTGAATGAAGTCGTCAAGTCGTCCCGGGGAATATCCAAGATGAGCATCCTGGAGGCTTATTGATTCCAATATAGCGTGATCCAGCGCTCTCAGACGGTACCCCTAAGAGCCAATATGTCAATAAACATTGAATTCCCACCGATACAATTCAAAACACCAATAACCCCATGCTCATACCAAGATTGAGTTCTGTACCAGTATTAAATCCACGGTATTATCGATCCCGGGTTTTGTTTATGGACGGAGTGCAGTAAAAAAGGATTTATAAAATATAGAGTGAAAGCTGCAGCATACGGAGACATAAAACTTCACTTTCACGTTTTAATGCGTTCGATTCCGCGCATTCGCCACTTTGTGACGAAAATGAAAACTCAATTGAAGAGATAAAAGCATGTCTTCACTGGAAATTGTTGTGCGCTCCTTGAAACTGTGGAGTACTCTTGAATCCCGGAAATGCACGGAAAAACGTGCAACTCGTCAGAATACGCGTTAAATCGTCTCGTGTGCACTCGTAGAGTCGTAAAACTTTCACGTCAAACAAACATGTGCTTTTTTTGGAATACTTTGTGTGTAGATAAATATACATGTTGCTTTTTGAAATTCCTGGGGGTAATTCAGGGGGATATCTTGAACAACAAGTAGTTGAAACTAATAAAATTATCGTTTATACTTCATTAAGAGGGGCTATAAGAATTCTTGGACACTGAAAAAATTTCATTCGCAACAGATAAATTCATTAATTGGAGTTGGCTCGTTTTTTTACGCGAGTGTAAAACGCCGAATCATTTTGACCAGACGGTGACGATCATAAGGTTTTTGTTGATTTAATCAAATGTTTTTAATTGACATTCTTGATTTTCAATAATTTTTTGTAATCCTCAATTCCTCAATTCCTCTGTGAAAGCGAATAAATCTCCGAACCTCAAGTCTTCCCGAATGACTCCACCAAAAACTCAAAATCCCTTTCATCTAACTCTGAAAGTCCCCCACAAAATCGGCCCCCAACACTTTCTCCCAAGAATCCCTCATCATCTTGATAATAATGTCACCACAAACTAATTTACGGTCGTCTAAAAAAATCCCTGGAAATTCCTCCACATTCCCTCCCCCCTCAAAAAAATAATTTCCAAAAAATCCGCGTTATTGTGCAGCAGTAACCGCCTCACGCGAGAAGAATTGATCAAAAGAAGCCACAAAAATTGATTATCAATTGAAATAAAATCCAGGAATTGCAAACCTCAGGATTTCTCCGTTTCCCATCTCCCCCAAAGTTCCTCTCATTTTTGGGTTAAAAGAGCCCGCGAACGATTTAGCAAAGAGATTCTCCTTCTCACCGACCTGTAATCTCGAGATCCAAGAGCCGCCTGCTCTAATTATACAGTTGCTTTTTGGCGCACTTGGCTCTCCCCTTCTAATTGGTTTTCCACCCTGATCCTCCCCCTCCCCCACATCCCCCGTGCCCTGGCATTACCCCCACAAAGAATGATTCCTAAATGGATCCTTAATCATCCGATATCATTCATTCACTCCTATCATTTGTTGGTGTTCAGGTATTTGGGCCTTGAGCCGGGTATAGCTGGGACCGATGGCGTACCAGGCGGTCCCGACGGTGGGCCAAAGATCGGTGCTGGTGTCATTGGTCCTGCCAGTGCCGAAAGGAACTGCAAGAGCTCACACTTGACTGTCAAACAGCAGGGGATATGTTCACGCTCGCCTTCGATTCTTCAGGTGAGTTGTGCTCAAGCGTATCTGATGAAAAAAGGTGAAGAAAAAGAAAATAAAATGAAATAAAAAGGTGGAGCCCTGGGCGTAACGGGCTGATGCAGTGCGGACGATCATTTATATCTGTAGTTTCCTCCTCTGATCTTTCGCACGAGCTTTTACATCAGTGAAAAATGGCGAAAAAAAAAAAAAATGATTAAAGAATGAATGAAAAAGAGGAAAAAAGCACCTAAATAAGACGAGAAGAATTTTAATCGTCGACGTTTAATATCGCTTTTAATTTATCGATCTTGAACATTCTCACAAATATTTTAAACATGTTATGGCCTCTCTCTCTTTTTTCTCTGGTCTTTTTTTTTTCTCTTATTTTATGTTCTCACGCCGAAAATTTTTTAAAGCCTGTTTGCCTAATGTAAAAACCTCGTTCGTGTCGTGAAAAGTGTGAAGGGTCTTTTGACCACCGTCCGACCGCCTTTTTTTTCACATATTTTCAGAGACTATATCTGTTTCTTGAAAAGAGAAGTTTCAATGAATATTCAGGGCTTGAAGTGGGTTAGAATATCTCTTGCGGTGAATTAACAGACTAAATAGGCTTTTAATTTTGAGGTGAACATGGGACTCAGCGGTCCAGGACTATAAAACCAGAGGAGCGGGTGTTACGCAATTGAATGGAAATATTGAAAAGAGATGGGAATAAGACAAGAGAGTAAATAAACTGTCTCTCTTCATTGGGTAATTTGTATTTCTGTCGTTTACAGGCAATAAGTGCTGGGGCTAGGCTTGCTATAGAGGAGTGCCAACACCAGTTCCGCTCTGCCAGATGGAACTGTTCAATTTCACCGGAAAATCCAGAGAATATATTTGGCGGTGTCATGCTAGTCAGTAAGTGGAAATCATTGACAATTCACGTAATCAAATAATTTCATTGCGAATTCATTTCGATCAATGATCGATTTGGTGTCAATCAAATGAGAGTTTTTTCACAGGTGCACAGGAGTGGTCCAGTTTTTTTTTCTCGCGTCTTGTTTAATTACGCAAGATATCTTTTCAATTTTATTAATATTGAAGATATCGAAAGCAAAATTTTTTTGTTAGATTCTCTCAGCCGATTTGAGTTTCCATCAATACGTAAAAATAATTGCCAAAATTAAACATTGGAAGATTGAAAAAAAAAAATGATAATTCAAGGGTTTCGTCGATTTGATAAGACCGATAACCCTTGATTATGGAGTGATTAGGGACTGTGATGTCCGTGTGTTTGTGGTATCGGTTGGATGGTGGATAAATAATAGAATGAATAAATTTGCACAGACAGTCGTGAAGCTGCTTTTGTGTACGCAATATCGGCAGCTGGTGTGGCTTACAGCGTAACCAGAGCGTGTTCCAGGGGCGAACTCACTGACTGCTCTTGTGACAATCGAGTGAGGACGCGTCATCCAAATAATTGGCAGTGGGGTGGTTGCAGTGAGGTAAGAGTCGTAAACCGTCCTTCAGTCCTGCCTTTAACTTTAAAAACCATAAAAGCCATAAATAATTTTCCAATTAATTGCTACGAAATGTGGCTGCACGTCCTCGCCGACAAATTCCAAAATTTATCAGTCAAAATCAATCGATGAATGAGATATTTCCTTTAATTATTATTGTCCACTGTTTTCTCGTTTTAAAATAATTGATCAATCGCTGGTATCAGACAATTTTCATCTTTGTTTGACTCTTATTCCATCGTTCCACATCAACAAGCTAAAAAGTCGTGTGTCAACGGTGAATGGATGCATTTCACGTGAGCAGGTGACCCCTTGTAGACATTGCCAAGCTTACAAGGGGGATTAACCCCTGCAGAAGCGACAGGGAAGGGGATGTATAAGCTTGTTAAGTTGCAACAACCCTCTCGGGTTCCGGGTACAATGTTTTGCGAGCCTCTCTGGTAGAACCCCCGAGATATTACAACGCATTGGTCTTGTCGCATGCTCACATTTGTAGATTGAAGCTATTTGTCTTCGACGTGAAGCTGAGGTATTTCTGACGTTTGTTTCCGGGAAAAGGGATAAAGCCAGATAACAATGTTTGCACTGTCCTAAAATACCCAACGCGGAATGGCACATCGGATTGCGTCGAGTGCTTGAGGATGACAATCCTCAGAACGTGACCTCGTTTGCTATTTCCAGGATATACATTTTGGGGAGAAACTCTCCAGGGAGTGGTCGGACAGTGCTGAGGAGCCCATGAAGGATGGGGTAGTTCAGGGACCTAAAGCCCTTGCTGGACAACTTATGAGGAAACATGACAGTGAGGCTGGGAGGAGGGCTGTACGCTCCAGGATGCAGCGAGTTTGCAAATGTCATGGTAATTATTTCAAAGTCATTGAAAAATTGCGAGCCACTGAATCTCGAATCGAATATACGAATTGGATTTCTTTTTTTTGCAATTAATTGAAAATTCAGGCGAATTATTTCCTGAGTTTATCAAATGTTCTGGGAATGCGTTAATTGAATTTTCAGGGATGAGTGGGTCGTGCAGTGTGAGAGTATGTTGGCGAAAATTGCCGCTTTTTAGAATGGCTGGCACAGCCCTGGCAGCCCTTCACGAGGGTGCGGCGATGGTACGGGTGGCACAGAAAGGCGGAAGACGACAGCCCAGACTCAGGCCGGCTCGGGCTGATCTCAAACGACCGAATAAAACCGATCTCGTGTATCTCGAAGATAGTCCTGATTACTGCGAGCGAAATCTCACGTATGTCACTTATCTTTATTTCCTTCATTCCTCATTACTTTTACGTACTTGGTAAACTTCTCCGCCATTAATTAAATATCTTTCCCATTTATGGGGAAATTACCGTAAAAAGGTTTAATGACTAGTTTTATTTAAGTTAAAGTTATTTGACGTGTTTGATAATTAATGAATTTAGATTTTTAGGATTGATGGGAGAATGGGGGAATAATAAAATAATTGTGGTGGTAAATTTCAGTTTAGGAATACCAGGCACCAGAGGTCGAATATGCAATCGAACCTCGATGGGTCTAGACGGGTGTCGACTGCTTTGCTGCGGTCGTGGTTACCAAACTCGAGTGCGCGATGTCACGGAAAAGTGTAAATGCAGATTTGTATGGTGCTGTAGGGTGCAGTGCGAATTATGTCGACACACGCGTGAGGAGCACGTCTGCAATTGAGTATTTATCCTCCTACCCCGAACCACCAGAGGAATTAAACTTAACTTAATCTAGAGATTAATCTTTCTCTTAAATCCGACTGCAAGATGAAAACGAGAAAATGGAGAAAAAAATACGAAAAAAAAAATGAAATAAACGAGAGAAACGAAAGAGTGAGAGGCAAAACGTCGCTGTGTAACGAGAGATATTTAATTAATTTCTAATTACCTAGATGGGAAAATTACGCTGATTACGTACGTACTTATGGGCGTGATTTTAATGTGTCAATGGTTGTCCTGTTTTTTTTTTATTTATCTGTGAAGTATCGGAGTTTGATAAGTGAAAAAGATAATATCAATTCTACCAATGAATGTACATAAACTCCTTTTTTATTACTTTTTACGGTTATAAAAAATAGTAAGCGTGTATATATTTATGGAGGGATTTTGTTCTGAAATGAGAATGAAATTCCTCGAATAGCCCTGTGTCCAAATAAATTAATTGAGTAAAAAATGTGTCTCATAGAAAGTGTTCTATGTGGTGACTATTCTCTTCTTTACGACGATAGACGATAGATCGTTAACAATAGATAGACATTAGTATTAAGAAATTTAGACTAGTGTTCAATTATTATTAAATGAAAAAAATACGACGATATACAAAGCGCAGTATTGACAAATTGTAATTTATTTTCCTCACGATAATATATATATTATAAATATTATATATAGCTTTAGCTTTTTCTAATGTGTCAAATACTTTCTTAGGTGGTAATACCAGTAATTTTTTCGACATAGCCATAGGCTGAAACCTGTATTTTTAGGTTTAATATATTTGTATATGTATGGCCACGTATATATTAAGTGTATTTATAAAAACATAAATGAAACAGCATTTGTCCATGTAACCATTGAGTATTTTTTTAAATTATATGTTTATTTGTGTTTTTTAATTTGTGGCGTTATATTTTTGCTGAGAATTATTCGATTACCTTTTTATATGATCATTACTACTCGCAGGATAAATCGTGGGAGGAGATTATTCTACTTCACTCGGATTTTCCGATAGTTGGAAGAAATTATAATTTATTAATGATGACTGGAATTATTGAGCAATTTTTTGCTTGGTTTAAAATAAAGTTGACTTTTTTCGAAATTCAATTTAAAATTATTTATTTTTTTTTATTGAAAAAAATCATAAGAGGCAGGTAAATTTTACCGTCCCCTCTATAATTATCATACATTTTTTTCTACAAATAAAAAATTAAATGCACCACTCGAGTCGGGCGTACAGCACAGTTCATTTTTTCACTTCTTGTTTATTATTAATTTTCATCTATTATACTTTCTTCCCTTACTCCTAATACTCTTACTCTCTCGGTTCTGATAGTACCAGGTGAGTGCTGTAGTAGAAGCAAATAGTACTCCACAAATCGTACCGAGCAGAATGCCAATATAAAGCTGAATATCCTCGGCAAATGTTTTCACTGGTGTTTTTCTATCCACCGGGGAAAATTCGATGGAGCTTTTTTCATTTCTCGCTACATATCTCAGCCAGAAAATTGTTCTATCTGATGCAGGCATTGGTCTGTCTCTGATTGCCAAGGAAACACTGCGCGCATTCTCACGGTAAAGTGCACTCTCGTGAATCTCAACGATTGTTTTCACCACTTTGTCAAGTGAATAGTCGTCATTTAGAGAGATGGAGAAACCTAATTCAGCGGCACGTTGGGCGTTACGTTTTTCATGGGGATTTCTCGGGAAACAAATGATAGGTGTTCCGTGGAAGCCGGATTCTAGGAGCTCAGTGTCGTCGCAGTGACTGAGAAAAACTCTTGCTCTTGGATAGCCTGAAAATAAGCCATTTTGTTAATTTGTGATTTTCTCTTGTTTACCGAATTCGTCTACCTGAAAATTTATATTCAAATCATTGATAAAAATATGTATATTTACCTATGAGGTCCTGACGATCAACGCTCGAATGCACAAATAAATTTTCTGGTTTTCCTCCAGTAAATCTCACATTTTTACTCTTCCAAGCAACAGCCTGACCCTGTCTCCCTTGAGGGAGTCTCTTTGCCATATTTTTTATTAATTCTGTGTAACTGTTCTCGAGGGAGACGACGATCGTTCCTAGTCTGAATTCGACCAGTTCTTTTTGAAGCTCTGAGGGAAGGGGTTGGACCCCTCGGCAGTGATGACAACCAATCTGAAAAAATATACATTCATTCCAAATAATATTCATCCTATTTACATTTAATTATTAATTACTTATTAATTACCTCCACAAATCTCTGAGTCAAAGACGCAAAATCTGTCCTCAGGATAGGATCCCCACCCCAGAGAAACAATTCAACATTAGAGTAGAGCTCATCCAGAGTATCGTCAACGTTAGAAACGTATTTCGTAGCGATTTTCATCGCAGGATTCACAAAATTGGATTCCACGTGAGCGATAACTCTTTGAGTATTGACATTTGCCCAGAATCTTTCATAGATTCCTTCAGTAAAAATAGGTATTCCCATTTTAGTTTTTTGAACAGCATAATGCTCTTCATTAATTCCCAGAGCCCAGACCACTGGATTTGACGATATGAATCGAGCCCAGGGGATGAGACAGGCATCATGCCTGCAAAAGAAACAAAAAAAAAAGAACAAATAAAGAAACAAATATTGATTTAGAGAAGAAATAAAAAATTACTGCAAGTCCTGATCACTGAGATAATTACCTAATGGCTGGAAAAATGGTGAAGGTGGGCTGAATCTCGCCAATTCTCTTCAGGATCTTCTGATCCCCGAGGAGAGCCTCACAAGCATTTAACGCCCTTTTTTCCAGATTGTCATGGTCTCGAGAGGTGACATTCAACTTGATCACCTCGACTTCCACCAAATTCTCGTACATATCCCCAGCATCCGAAGCCACAATCATCGTTGCATCGATTCCCTGATCAGTCAACGTGTTAGCAAGCAACGACAACTCATAGGCATTCTCGAAGGCAACAACAAGAGCACTCTGAGGTGGTGCTGACAAAGTGGAGGCACTGGAGATGCCGATCAATGCAGCAATCACCAGCAAATTAATCATCACTAATTGCCTCATTCCTTCTCCGTTGAGTTAATTGCCACCGAAGCACTGGAATTAATTAACACTCAATTTTTTAGGGATCGTGGAGCACTGGACATGGTACACTGATGGGAATCACTGTGTTCAGGCGCCAATCAGAAAAAGTAATCGCTGAACGTCTGGAGGATGCACGATTTCTCGATCGCGGAGGCTTTTTCCTGATTTTAGATCTCTGGATATTCGTGGAGGCCTCACTAATGGATAAAGTCACCGGTAGTTCAATGTGTTGGTTAGTTACTGAGGTATAAACATTACTTCATTATTAATGAAGTTTGAAGGAAACTAGGACGACCATTATTCACTGAATAAAATGGATTTTTCGCTTTCGCTTTAAATCCATATCGATAATTCGATGTAAAAAAAATCAGTAATTCAAAGAATTTATCTCGAAATATTTTTGAGAAGTCATTCGGATATTCTGAGGGTTAGAGGAAACTAGATGGAAATTTACTGTTTCGAATCGTGATAAAGAGGATTTTTATGTCACAGATGATAAAGAAGAGAACAGGGCTTATCGATCAAAGTCGCTCCACCGAAATTTTTATGACCTTGATCTCATTTTCTGACCTTGAAAATGCGAAATATTCAATATCATCCATTGAATTTCATTTCAGAAGATACCGCAGAAATGGGATATCTTCTGAAAAATGTCATGATAGTTAATGAATTAATTATTATCTGGTTTCCGTTATTTTAATTATCACGCATGCTGGATGATTTCCCGCTGAATTCTATATAATTCATTATTTTACATTCAACACACCCGAGAAGTTGCTCCTCTGATAGAATTAGAAGAGAATAAAATTATTTTCAATATGATATATAATATTGCATTAATTTTTTTTGTAATCACAATAATGGACTTCAATCAATTAATTCAGTGCGGAAGTATTCCAACCAGTTGTAATAATTCTGATCACGACACTAATACAGAAGACGAGGTAAATGATTTTTTTATTCAAAAATCAATTTTCTACTGAATTAAAATTATTCTGCAAAGTTTCGCAGAAATATAAAAAACATTAATTATGAATAAAAAAAATAATGATCGGGTTCATTACAGAATCTGTACCGTTCGAGATTTACAACGACTTTCGAATCGTTCTTCCCACTCATCGATAATGAGTACTGGATAAAAGCGCGAAGGGAACCAGCATTTCAAGAAAATATTTCCCTCTCGATGTATCGTTATTACATGGCTCAGCACTTGTATGCTCGTCTAGTGCAAATAAAATCTGCGAAGGGTTTGGCAAGCAGTGATGAGAAGAAATACGCCAATCACGTCCAATCACTGGCCCCATCAGTCCCATACGGTGCATTCACGTATTTGAGTTCGATAGGTGACATAGAAGTTCTGGAAATAATCGACGAATACGAGATGGATTTTCGAAGATTTTTCGAGTACTCGTTCATCGCATGGCCGAACCAAGCTGGTCATTTTGGACCCATCGACTGGGACAATCATTTCCTGTATATGTCCTTTCCAGCCCCAGTAATGCTCGTCCTTGCGATTCAAGCAGATCTTGAAGATGGAAAATCATTCTGGACACTAATCTCGAAATATATTCCAGATTCCCATTACTCGATGTTGCAACCAACAGCCAATTTATTAGGATGGAAACCACCTGCTCTCGTTACAACCTCCCAACGTCAGAAGCTCCAGTTGTCTGGAATAACTGGAGACGGTTTTGACGTAATTAATTCACAGTTCCAATTCAATCCAAAACTCATGGCTATGGTCCATTCTTATTTCAAAGCTTGTCCTCAGGCGATTGTCAATATAAAAGAACGATACAAGAGCAAGAAGCAGAATTTTGGTGCGATGGAGCAATTGGCATGGCTGGAACCAGAGGTTGATACTTATTCATTACCCAGCAAAACCTTCGCTTTCAGTGAAAAGCATGTACTGGCCGTTTTGCATCCACTCCAGACCGGTACCGAATATTTGAACAAATTATCACTCATCATGGGATTTCGGGTTAATAAATACATATATCCTGATGATTGGGCGATTTTTCAATGGAGTCCCAATAGAACTATTCCTCAAGATTGGATATTGACGAGAAATCGGATTTTCGAATTCGGGGATATCGGTGAAATTAGTGGAACTACTATTCCCTTTTCTTATGAGAGAGATGGGATCAGAACAGAATTTCTCGAGAGGTGTTATGAAGGACAGCCCATGTATCAGTGATTATAAATTAAATTGTATAGTAATTGTGATTGCATTTAATTGAATATCCGGAGTTTTGTAAAAGAAAAAATTGAGAGGACAATAAAAATGTATAATTATCAGTATAGAATAAACAATTATAACCTTTAGTTTTAATAAAAAAAAGTCATGGACTGGAAAGTTTAAAAAATAAATTCGACTGACCTCATTGCGCCCAAAGAGATCACTGTGCCCTCCCTGCGATGAATTCGGTACTAAAATTCTTGGAATCACCCTCCCCGTTGCGGACGTCTACCCAGGTCGATCCTCTGTGGATATTCTCACCGGGGATTTGGGGTGGAGTGGGAAAAACGTGCTGTACCCGCGCGCTGCCACGTACATCAGCCTGAGAGAATAAAAAAAAAAATTCTCCACTCCGTTGCATCAAGCCAACAATTAAAATCATCGAATAATTATAAAAACCCGAAAAATCACCCATTAACCGTCAAATGGAGGGTCTACCATAAGTGAGTACCTCCTGAATTAACCCTTTCCCCTGTATCAATCATCAAATCTCCGATAAATACGCCCTAGTGTGTTATAACCTATGATAAATCGTGATTGATTGTTACGTTTTACTGACCTATCTCTTGATGAGGACACGGTTACAAGAAATACGGATGAACGATGGCTAAATCAAAGTCCCACGAGCGCACACCGAAGGCCAAAAATAAACACCTCAATCATGCTCATCAGAGAAAAGAGGCTGAGTCTTCTAGGATGAATCTGATGAATACTTTGTTGACGCTGACCTGCATGGCTGTTGCTGCGTGGTTCGGGTACAAGGGATACCTTGAAACGAGAGTTAACACTCCTTTTGATACGGAAAAGGTACGTCAACTGTTTTATCTTTTTCTCTTCCCTAGTGAATTAAAAAGTTTTATTAATTCCTTCTCAGCTGGTCTCGTTAAATGGTTTGGACACAGCTGATCGGTACTGGGGCACATACCGTTCGAATCTGTACTTCGGTATGAAAACAAGGGATCCTCAGTCTCTGGCGAGTGGTTTGATGTGGTACAGGCCGAATGATTTGCGTCAGGGTAGTGAATCCTTCAGGCACTGGTGCGAGCAGTCAGACAAACTGGAAAAATACGGTTGGCTGGAGCACGATGGGAAGACCTTCGGTATTCAAGAGATAGTGGATGGTGACTTGATAATCAAAACTTCGTACGTTAAGAAGCCTGGGGGTCGTCACGGTGGTGACTGGACAGCGCGAATAGGTGTTACCTTCAAGGAGGATGTCATCCAGTCCGATAAATCCGAGGAGATCTCCTTCATATTCTACTCAGCCCTCGAAGATAAATCAACGGGGAACATAAAGGCGTCTCTGGGGGCTGATAACAGGCTCTCGGGGATGGAGGGATACACAGACGGTCTTGGAGCTTACAGATTCTCCATGAATCCCACCAAGGGAACAGTGGAGGAGCATTCTTTCCTCATAGCTGTTATGCCAGGTCTGGATTTAGTCCGTGAAACTGTTCTGCAGAATCTACGCCTGGCCTCGCAGAAGGGCTCGAACCTGAAGAGAATAGTCCTCGGAGGTGATCAATTGCCACTGGACTCGGAGGGGAAGAAGACAGATCCTAATTTTTGTGCCACACAGGTGACAGCCAAAGTTCCTTTCGAGTTCGAGGTTCTCTTCGAGTCTGGAAGCGTTCCCCTACGGAAGGAGAAACTCACGGGGAAGAATTTTGATGCAGCCCTGGGGGATCAGCGAAAGCGATTCCACGAGAAATTCGAGAAGACATTCAAGCTGGAGGAGAAGGGCTTCAAAGAAGATGCCATCGAGTTCGCCAAGTTGGCGTTCTCCAATCTCATTGGCTCGATCGGGTACTTCTATGGTACTGCGCAAGTGCAGAGTGTATACACGAAGAGCCCAGTGCCCTACTGGAAGGCTCCACTGTACACAGCAGTACCCAGTCGTTCTTTCTTCCCGAGGGGATTTCTGTGGGATGAGGGCTTCCATGGTCTCCTCATATCCACGTGGGACCTGGACATCGAGCTGGATATTATGAGCCACTGGTTCGACCTGATGAACTCCGAGGGCTGGATTCCCAGAGAGATGATATTGGGTTCTGAAGCACTGAAGAAGGTACCCGAGGAGTTTGTCACTCAGATAAGCACAAATGCCAATCCACCGACGTTTTTTCTCACTCTGGAGTACATTTTGAATACTCGAGAGGTCGAGCTGTTGGACAGACACTACAAACTCCTGGGGAAGATTTATCCAAGGCTGCAGGTGTGGTTCGAGTGGTTCAATACCACGCAAGTGGGGGATTTACCTGGAACGTACAGGTGGAGAGGAAGAGACAGTTTAACGAATAGAGAACTCAATCCGAAGACATTGACGTCTGGTCTGGATGATTATCCGAGGGCCTCTCATCCCAATGTCGATGAGAGGCATGTCGATTTGAGGTGCTGGATTGCATTTGCTTCTGGGGTTATGGCAAGACTAGCTTCACTGTTGGAGCAGCCTAGTCAGAGGTACAATGAGACCCATCAATTTCTCACTGACAATCAACTGCTGAATCATCTCCACTGGTCTGGAGCTACTCAGGCGTATGCTGATTATGGCCTCCATACTGATAAAGTGGAGCTCAGGAGGCCCAGTGCCCCTCCAAGATCACCGGCATCTCCGGACCTCATCAGAGTCGTCCTCGAGGATCCAACTCTGCGATTCGTCGATTCGGCTTTTGGGTATGTCTCGTTATTTCCATTTATCCTGGGAATCGTCGAGTCGAATTCACCGAATCTTGATAAGATCCTGAATGATATCACCAAGCCTGAGCTACTCTGGACCAAATATGGGCTCAGATCATTGGCGAAATCATCCCCACACTACATGAAGTACAATACTGAGCACGATCCACCGTATTGGAGGGGCGCTATCTGGATGAATCTTAATTATCTGACCCTCAGGGCCCTCAATCACTACTCCGAGGTACAGGGGCCCTATCAGGCCAAGGCCGGAAGGATCTATAAGGAGCTCAGGGAGAATGTAATCAAAAATATGATGGCACAGTACAAGCGGACGGGATTCCTCTGGGAAAATTATGGTGATAGCTATGGCGAGGGCAAGGGCTCGCATCCCTTTAATGGCTGGTCCTCACTCATCGTTATGATTATGGCTGAGATCTACTGAGGAGTGTCATTCATTCAGAGGCACTAATGTCTCGTGGACAATCAGACAATTTTTCGTGGGATGTGAACGATCTAAAGGGTTGAGGATGGATTTTTTTTTATCACAGAAAAAAATGATTTCATCGTTTCAGGATTAATTCCTCGATTATCAATTAATTCATTAATTACTAGTTCATAATTAATTAATTCGTTGATTAAGGGCACAGAGATGATCGTTTTTTTATATCTTTTCGTTAGAATAAGGAATGATTTTGAGGGAAAGACGGCTGGGAGAGAGACTAGAATGGAGGGATTTTTTGTGGCAGTGGGAAGTGGATTTTTCTTGTCCAGGGGATCAAAGGATTGCGGGGGGCTTCTGCGAGGAATTTTGAGGGTTCTTCAATCACACAATCACACGTGATTTCATCATTTCTGCCGTACAAAGAATTTTAAAAAATGCGTAAAGCCATAGAAATTATTTTGTTCGCGGTATATTATTAGATAGCTTCTTAGTGTCACTAGGAATGTTGAATAAACGAATTCAGCGAGTGAATGGTGTACTTCCAGCTTGTGTGAGGCTGGCACTCACCAGACCACAATTTTTCATTGAATGGAGTGGAAATTTCATTATTTGATTGCGTGGGGAGAATGCAATATCAAATCAGTAACGACGTGGTGAAGTGAGAGAAGTTGAATTTTATATTTTTTTCAATTATCGATTTATCTCGAAAAGTGGAGTCTTGATGTTTCCTTCTAAAATCAATAGGTTTTTCGATTATTCGATATTTAAAGAAAATGACAATTCCGTTTATTTCACTTTATCACTTCGCCAATGGAATTATTCGAACGTAAAAATTCACGTATTTGTAGCTTGAGTGGAGGACATTCCGGGGGGTAGATTTCTAAGGACTCATATACCAAAATACGAAAAAATGATATAATTGTATATTAAGACTGCGCAGGGGGGACTGTAAATTGCGGTAATTGATGAACATTTCAGTGCATTCATCAGTGGATTTTTCTATCGCATGCCTGGAATTTTATTTATTGAGGATATCACGGGATTGTTTAAGAATTTTCACAGTCTCGTGATTTCCTCAATTAGCTTTCTCAATTGTACGGAATAAGTCTAAGAGGATTAATATAGCGTGTATGCATGCAGTGAGGATTCCTTGGGTTTTAATGAAAATACATAATAACGAATTCTTGAGCTGTTGTAAGCCGAGGATTCGGGGTATAATTGAGGATTTTTAAACGCTGAGTAATTAATTCTAAGTAAGGATTTTTCAAACCTGGCTGTGAAGATACAAAAATAATAACCAGAAAACCCGTTACTGCATTTCTTTTTTCTCGTGTAGCTGTGGGACGATTGTCCCTGTTTTTTAATAATGTCGAGAGAGTGAGAAATACTCATCATCATCGTAGAGTAGATTTATCGAGCGTGCGCGTGTTCTTTGTGGCGAACAATAAACTAAATTCTCTGTTTGGGCTTTTGAAGCGCGCGTGTACTTTATAATCCGAGTGTAATCACAAATATTTTACAATTGTTTCATTTTAGAATTTTCTTGTAAACCAATAAAGAAATCAAATTTATTTCTTATCATTCATTAATCATAATCATAATGAATTAAATTATAATTACTTCGACAAGTGCAATCATCATGTGATGTAATCCCATGAGTTCTTGGTGAATTAGAATTTCGAAAAATTTCGCGCAATATTTTTCTGTGGCGCTATTGAACGTCAGTTAAACATCATCTAACTTCACTCCGCAACAATGTTCACGGCTCTTTGGCTCAACCCGAGGTGTGCTAGTCCGTATGACAATCTAGCGCATTGTTGAAATAAAAGTATTATTATTTGATTTAATCATCACGATCTAGGAGCTGATAATGGAGCCGTACGATGTTATAGTGAATCAGCCTGTAGTAATCGACAATGTGAGTAGCTCTCAGTATTTTTTCTAGATTTTCTTTGTGACCTGAATCCTTGCGAATCCTCGGGTCCCTTCGTTCTCTCATGTGTCAAACGAGACAGGCCATATTATCGGCTGCCAAAAATTGACAATACCCATCACTCTCACTGCCAATTTATCTAACATTTTCGCGAAAATTTCCACTGCGTTCATTTTTCAACTCTGAATTCTCATAAATTTCTCCCAATCTTCGAGTTACAATTCCTAATTTTGCACACCTTAATCATCACTTTTATTTAATTATTCAAGTCTTAACATAATCAATATTTAAATTAATTGTCTGTGGTTCAGGGCTCTGGAGTGATAAAGGCTGGATTTGCGGGTGATCAGATACCAAAATGCAGATTTCCAAATTAGTAAGTGCCAATTCATTAATATTCCAGAGATGATTCACTACTCAGACCGCTGGAGGTTATTATACAAGATAAAATTCCTGTGTATTTTCAAACCGATTAAAGTCTTGCCCTTCCTTCACAATAAATCGATAGATGTTTTCTGAAATTTCGATTTATGCAATAATTTATTTGATAAATCGATGGTTATCAGAAAAATTTGACAGTAATTAAATTTCGGTGTATGAATAATTTACCTAGTATCGGACGACCAAAGCACGTGAGAGTGATGGCAGGTGCTCTGGAGGGTGACCTCTTCCTGGGTCCAATTGCAGAGGAGCACCGAGGTCTCCTCTCCCTGCGGTATCCCATGGAGCACGGTATAGTGACAGATTGGAACGATATGGAAAGAATCTGGTCGTACGTCTACAGCAAAGACCAGCTGTCGACATTCAGCGAGGAGCACCCAGTGCTCCTCACAGAGGCACCCTTAAATCCCCGAAAGAACCGAGAGCGTGCAGCCGAAATATTCTTCGAGTCTCTCAACGTACCAGCTCTATTCGTCTCGATGCAGGCAGTTCTCAGTCTGTACGCCACTGGAAGAACCACTGGAGTCGTCCTCGACGCTGGAGATGGCGTAACCCATGCTGTACCCATCTACGAGGGGTTCGCCATGCCCCACAGCATCATGAGGGTAGATATCGCTGGAAGGGACGTCTCCAGGTATCTCAGACTTCTCTTGCGCAAGGAGGGCGTCAACTTCAAGACAACTGCTGAATTTGAGATCGTCAGGACTATCAAGGAACGATCCTGTTACCTCTCCAGCAATCCACAGAAGGAGGAGACTGTGGAGACTGAGAAATTCCAGTACGTTTTGCCTGATGGGAGCTATCTAGAGATTGGCCCAGCCAGGTTCAGGGCACCTGAGGTCCTCTTCAGACCTGATCTCATTGGTGAAGAGTGCGAGGGACTGCACGAGGTTCTTATGTATTCTATTCAGAAGTCTGATCTCGATTTGAGAAAGGTCCTCTTTCAGAATATCGTACTCTCTGGGGGATCCACTCTGTTTCGAGGCTTCGGTGATAGGCTACTAGCGGAAATTAGAAAGATGGCACCGAAGGATATAAAAATCAGGATATCAGCCCCACAAGAACGTTTATACAGTACTTGGATCGGAGGTTCAATACTGGCGTCTTTAGATACGTTTAAGAAGATGTGGGTGAGCAAAAGAGAGTACGACGAGGATGGCAGTAGAGCGATACACCGTAAAACATTCTGAGCTGGTTAACTTCCAGTGAGACAACTGACAATTACAGAAAAATCGAAAAAATATCCGAAACACAAGCAACGCTCGATAAAAAAAAATTTCATACGTGTTTAAACCAGTAGCCAACAGTTAAGGAGTAAAATTTCATCTGAAAGGGGGAGTTTTCGTGGAATATCTAAAAATCTATGAGATTTAGCGAATTTTATAGTAGGGACCCTTTTTGTAGCTCCTATCGCAATTTATAAAAAAGATCTCGAGAAAATTTAGATATTTATCTTCGATCGGAAGATATTCCACCAAAACTTTACTGGGAAGAAATGCAATTGTTACTCTTTACTTTTTCGCTACTGATATAATTCCCCTCGCTCCGATTTTCCTGCAAATTCCGAGGGAATCATGAGAGGAAATGATTATAGATTAAGTTTATATATGGAATATTTTGAGAACTACTCGTGCAGTTGTGTTCCGGTTCATAATCCTTTCTCCCTCTCAATGATTGACAAATGATTGATTACTTAGGTGCGGCTGAGATTCGTTAGGTATTCGATTGATAGTTTCGGAAATGAGGGAAGTGGTGCAGGAGGAAGCAGATGATCGCACGATGAGAAAAAAACGAAATTTTGGAATTGATGTTTCACCACTTCGTGACTCAGTTGTCTATTTATGTATTTTTTTTATACTGTCGTGTGCACTTAATATTTAATGGTAAAGAATGTAGCGCATCATTGGGAGTGCTTTGGCCATTTATTATCCTTCTTTTCTGTTAAAAAAAAATGGATAATGCAGCACTGTTTTGGCAACATGTATTTGTAAATATGTATGCTTTGGTAAAATAAAATATTTGAAAAAGCATAGTGGGTGCATTAAAATGAATATTTGTATTGTTTTTGTCTCTATAAAATTGACATTATGTCATAATTGTACAACTTATAGTTTTTTCGAAAATATCTCGGAGGGGAAAACTGATACCGAATTTTTTGTTAGAATCTTTTTTATGACTCTCGATCACTTCTACAAAAAAGTCCCAACAAAAATTTTATTATCTCCTTTAATTTCGGAGATATTTAGGGAGAATTCACGCCCTTTCGCTTCTTTCTGATAATTTTGAATTAGCGGAAGACGGTGGCTCCACTCGATAAATTTCGACATTACAACCGCTCGTGGACGACATTTTTTATACAGCAGAAGTGTGGAAGCCGGATTGTTGAAATCACCAGGTGGTAAAATCATTAAATTCACTCTACATCATCAGAAATAAGTTAATTGACGAGCAAAATGTCTTACTCAACCGGAGATCAGTCCTCAGTGGACAAATCAATGAGGAGTGTCTTTGGTAAGAGAAAAATTTCCACGAGACTCGATAATTATTCCACCCTCATTCCGCCAAATTTCAATCCAACTCATTAATATTATTTCAGTGGGAAATATTCCATACAGAGCTACCGAGGAGAATCTCAGGGATATCTTCGGTGAAATCGGACCAATTCTTTCGTTCAAGTGAGAAATGAATATTCATAATTAATTGTTAATATTGGAGGAGATTTATAACCTACCAGGCAAGGAGTTACTTTCAAAAATGTATTTTCTTCGTTAATCATTGAAATTCATGAATTTACGCAGTCAAGAGGTAAAGAGTATTTTCGATCCAGGTAATCGATAAGATTTTCAGGATCATTTGTGCCAGTAAGACAGATCGAATTTTTGGTGATCTTTTTTTATAGCCTTCACTTCTCCCTAAAAGACACTTGTGTTAAAAATTTGGCAATCTCTCCTCGATTGAAAGATGTTCCTAAAAAAATCGATTGACAAAGCGACTCATTACTCTTTCCTACTTCGCTGTCGATATAAAATTAGCGATCATGAGAATGTCATTGAATAGTGAAATGGTATTCCGATATCTGTAAAAAAATTAGTATGAAAATGTGTAAAACATGTGTATTTCACTCTTTCTCTCGTTAATTTCCATATTAATTAATTACAGATACTGAAGATACCAATTTTGAAATTAATTTTTCCGGTTGAGTTTAAATGACCACTCCCTGATATTTATTTGGTTATCACATAGTAATTTAATTGTGCCCTTCAGATTAGTATATGACAGAGAGACTGGAAGACCCAGGGGCTTTGGTTTCATCGAGTACAAGGATCAGGAAACAGCCCTGAATGCAATACAGTGTCTGAATGGATACGAGATCGGTGGAAGAATTCTCAGAGTCGACAATGCCTCTTCTCAGAAGACTCGTCAAGACATGCGAAGTCGAAACGACTACGACTCAATGCGCGATTGATAAATATCCTCAATTTTTTCTTTTCTATATAAAAGCGTAACGATTGATATGGAATTGTCATGATGAGTTGGATGATTAAAATAATGAAACGTCTATGAGCGAGTGGAATTATCAATGTTGCTGTTTTTCAGATTATGAAAATAATAAATAAAAAAAATTAAACGAAACAACTTGTGATCATGTGCCTTCCCTTAAACCCTTTTTTATGTCATATTTACGGATTATTGGAGATTAAATAATAATAAAATTAAAATTTAATAGGAAATTGTTTAATGTATTATCTTTACGTTTCCAACTGTACCAACCGTAGAAAACCGTTTACTAACGCCAGGTGCAAAGAGGATCGACTAAAGTAGAGGCTCAGTTCTGGGGGTTCGAGTGACCCCAGGTGCATCGTAGTACTGCACCCCAAGAGAGGGAGGGCGTCACACGCAATGGGGGTGTCTGCCCGTCAGCCGACTCGGTAACTTTTTTGCCCCCATGTGACCCTTAACCAAGTCCAATTAAGCCTTAACCAAATCCACTAACCCTTAATCAAGTCCAATTAAGCCTAAACCAAATCCACTAACCCTTAACCGAATCCAATTAACCTTTAACCAAATCCAATTAACCCTTAACGAGGAGAGTTAAAGGAGGTATTCATTGAATACTCTTTATTGTTCTTTATAGTTCTCCTGATACTTTTCGTTAAGGGTTAATTGAATTTGGTTAAGGTTTAAATGGATTTGGTTAAAGGTTAATTGGATTTGGTTAAGGGTTAATTGGATTTGGTTAAAGGTTAATTGGATTCGGTTAAGGGTTAGTGGATTTGGTTTAGGCTTAATTGGACTTGATTAAGGGTTAGTGGATTTGGTTAAGGCTTAATTGGACTGGATTAAGGGTCACATGGGGGCACAAAAATTACCGAGTCGGCTGACGGGCAGACACCCCCATTGCGTGTGGCGCCCTCCCTTTCTTGGGGTGCAGTACTAGGATGCACCTGGGGTCACTCGAACCCCCAGAACTGAGCCTCTACTTTAGTCAATCCTCTTTGGCCAGGTGTTTGTTATATATTTATAGTTTGTAGTGGTTCGTTCGAATAACTAGTTTCTCGACGAGATTGATATTATTTCCGATCGAGATAAACAATTAACAAATAAAATGACCAATTCAACGATCACAGATCAATCCTTGATGGATAAATCGATGAGGAGTGTCTTTGGTAGGATAATTATTCCTAGAATACAATAACTTGTTCCCATGAATTAAATTCTCAATTACATGGAGTATTTCGAAATTTCCAGTGGGGAATATTCCTTACGAAGCCACAGAAGAAAATCTGAAGGATATTTTCAGTGAAGTTGGGCCAGTGCTTTCCTTCAAGTAAGCAACAAACACTTAAGGATGGAATTTAATTATTGATTTAACTGGATAACCTATCAAATACTTATATATCCAGGTCATTGCGGAGTAGTATGATAATTTCTATGTTAATTGATGTTTTTACTGCTGATTACAGATTAGTATACGATCGAGAAACAGGGAAACCGAAGGGCTACGGTTTTTGCGAATATAAGGACCAGGAGACAGCCCTGAGTGCAATGAGAAATCTCAATGGTTATGAAATTGGTGGACGAACCCTGAGAGTCGATAATGCATGTACAGAGAAGAGTCGTATGGAGATGCAGAGTCTTCTTCAGGGTCAGAACACAGAGAATCCTTATGGAGAGGCTGTGCAATCTGATAAAGCACCAGAGGCCATCTCCAAGGCAGTAGCTTCACTACCACCAGAGCAAATGTTTGAGCTGATGAAGCAGATGAAGCTCTGCGTTCAAAATAATCCCAACGAAGCGAGACAGATGCTCCTGCAGAATCCACAACTGGCTTATGCCCTCCTGCAGGCTCAGGTTGTCATGAGAATAGTGGATCCTCACACTGCTGTCAGCATGCTTCACAAGGCAAATCCTATTCCCTCAGCTATTAATGCAGTGGAGAAAATATCAATTCACACACTTCCACCGAGAATAGAAGAGCCCTGGGCTCCTGTCAGGCAGCCACCACCTGCTGTCAATCCTCCTCCACCTATAGCTCCTATTTTCTCGAGTAAATTCATCTATTTACAAGATTTAATCGATGAATCGATTTAAGCGAGGAATTTTTATGTTGAATTCATCGACTTGATTATTTTTGTATGATTTTTCAGGCCAGGATGTCGATCTGAGGACGATTGACAGACAGATTGATCCTAGATTGGCAAGAATGGACCAGGATCTCAGGACACAAACCCAACCACCACCTATTCCCATTGTTCCTCCTGTGATTCCTCCAGTTGATAATCGTGTTCCAGTTTTCAATCCCCCAGACAAGTAAGTTAGATAAATGTTATTGGTATTTCCACGAAAATTAATAGATTCATTCCTTTGATTAGCACTCTTCCTGTGGAGGGAATCGAGAGGTTTAACAATTATTTTATTGATTCTCAGTATTGACACTTGTTTTTGTCATCAAGATTAAAATAGTACTTTTCATGTGCAGTAGTTTTTGTCGAGATCCGAGAGCAGATCGATTCGGGAGAGATCCTCGTGATCCCAGAGATCCCAGAATAACAGTCGATCCTAGAATGAATAAATCTACTCGTGAGTAATTAATAAATACCAATCAATCATTTTTTCAGCGCTACTAATTATTTTGTAATGGTGAAATGCATCGAATGCATGATTAATTTTAGCTCCAGTCCCTGTGGCACCTCCTCCAGTTCCTCGACCAGTCTTGGCACCAGTTGCAGCTCCAACCAATGTTAACCCAGTGAACACAATAACCCCGTCAACTGGAATTTCTGCTTCGAGTTCAGCGGCTTCGAGACTCATGGCAGGCATGTCACCTGCCGGAAGTATTCCCAGTGGAGCGTCTGACCAGGAGAAGGTAAAGATAACACTTGATCATCGAGACAATGAGCGTCACTTCCCCGAGTGCAAACTTTGGAGAATATTACAACGAAATAGTTTTAATAAAAAATTATCCTCCAGCATTTCTGATGAATGATTTTTTGGGTAAATATTCTAGGCTGCATTAATAATGCAAGTACTTCAGCTGAAGGACGAGCAGATCGCCATGCTGCCACCTGAGCAGCGACAGAGTATTCTGGTACTGAAAGAACAGATTGCCAAGAGTACCCAAAGATGAATCAAAATTTCAAAAATATCGATTGAAAAATTATTTCATTCCTTGTGTGTTGGATTAATTACTATATTAACGAAGTTTCCTTAACTTTTCAGTTGTAACTTCTTATTTCCATCAAAATCATGACTGCAATAGTGCTGGAATTTTTTATATCGAATTTTTATTATGAACCTTGATAATAGACGTCGCCTGAGTGTGTTTTTATTATGAAAATAATAAAATTATTACAAAGTATAATACTACAACTATGATCTCCTTCATTTATCTCATCTCATGAGATAGAAACATATAACAGGTCACGTTTTTCAAAATATTTTTCGTAATAAACTTTAAACTAAAAAATATTTAAGAATTGTACTGATTTTTTGCTCACCTTTTACATGTTCAATATTCATACTTAAGGTAGACAGAACTAATGAGAATAAACTCAGTACTTTCCTCTCCCGGAGGATCTGAGGGAGCTACTCCTCGAGGATCTTCTTCGGATCCTTTTTGAGCATACCGTTGTCCAGAAGGGATTGATATAACAACTTCTCGCATTCTGTGTCTACAAAAATTTTAACACTGAGTTCCGCCTCAATTCTAGCCTCAACAGTGATCGTGAGAGGATGATCCTTGGAGGTGGCAAATTTCTTGAGCCATTTCCTGGCCATGGAGTTGTTCTCACCGACCCTGAGCTCATGTAAATAGCATTTGATAACAGTTGCAGGTACCCTGAGCCACTCATCCTTGGGTACTCTCAAATCAGTGGGTTTGAGCCACTCAGAATTTCCCCAATCGACAAAGACGACCTGAACGAAAGTGCTTTCCCCATCATTCATGATTGACAGAACTCTCCCCCTGTACCAGGTGGAATCTGCTTCGTAGATAGCACAACACGGCACTCCAGGCTCGATTCCCTCCAGGAGTGGCTGGTGCTCGGCCTCCTTCTCTATCTCCTTCATCAATTTGTTATATATCTGGGCAATTACTGTGAGAAATTCACAGCCAGGTGTTGCCGCTGGATGGACCCATACAGTGGTGGCCCTCTCCGAGGAGACCTCCCCCAGGGCACCGTAGAACATCGGTACCCCATCCGGCAAAGTGATACTTGGATAAATCTCAACGCAATTATCGAACATATCCCTGACGACTTTTTCGTGGTACGCACTGACAGCTTCATCGTAGGAGATAGAGGCATCCTCAGGACTGTCAGACAGATACTGAGCATCAAGATCAATCTCAGACATCAGCATTTCTCCATTATCATTTTCAGCGTGTTCCTCTTCAATGACAACACCCAGCTCACTACTATCAGAGCTATCATTATTAGTCACTTCTATGCCATATAATTTCCTCATGATGTCGACGACATTGTCATAGGGCCAAGATGGATGAGCCACGACGACTTCCAAGTACTGAGGCAGCTTGTCAACGATATTGACCCTCCACTTCCTGTCCACAAGGATAAGGTGGAGTCTATCAAGGTCGAGTTTGGTCCACTGCTGATAAGCATGAGTAGGTCTCATCTTGGAAATTTTGCACTTGTGAATAAGCGTGGGGACATCTTCGAACATGAGTTTCTTTCGAAGATATTTGGGCTGCACCCACTCGATATTTCCATAATCAATGAAACACACGACACAGTGATTGTTCTTCTTGCCCCTGATCTGGGCCCTGTGCCACGTCTTGAACTGATGCATTTGGGCAATGCAGAGATCCCCATTACTCCAGTCGTCTATCGTAGTAACGTCTCCATCCTGAGAGTAAAATTCCTGCATGATTTTATTGATCTCCTTGAGTTTGAGATCCTGCTCTGGTGTCTGGAGATAAACGAACGCCTGCCAGTCGACGAACTGCCCCAGCCCCGTGAACTGATCCTCAGAGATTTTTTCAGGAGGCAGCCACGATGGCAGCCCCTCCTTGAGTTGAACACAGTAAATATTGGGCTCTTCTACAGGTACATCAGACGTATCAGACTCATAATCCCGGATTGTTCCTGAATCATCGGTGTCGTTGTCACTCGTCTCCTTTCCATCAGATCCCTCCTCGACAACAGGATTCTTGTCCCCGATGACGAGTTCCTTCTCCACGTCAACCCCCAAAATCTTCACTTTTGTGCCACTGAAGTTTCTGATGGGCAGTGCAAGCCCAGCATCCACCAGCTTCCAATTGATAAGATTTATCTCCCTGACAGCTGGATCCAGAGCACCAACGGACTTGATCTCCTCCACGAAAAAATCAACGACCATAGGCCCCTCATCCTCAGAGATCTTGGATATGAAAAATCTCGAGCCCTGATTCTCTTCAACAATTTCTGCGAGTTTGCTGCACGACGATGTAGGCCAGTGGGTCGAGCCCCCAGGTGGATAAATGCCGCCCAATTTCACCCTGAAAACATTAGCTGGAAAATCGTTGAATTTTTCGAAGAGGGGCTGAATGTCCTGGAGATGAATGACGAGGGTTTCACCCACATCGAGAAGATACACAGAAACCTCCTCTGGAGATCTGATCTCCATGATCTGAGCCCTCCTGTAGACATTCGAGGTCTTCAGGCTGATCACACATACATTTCCTACTGACCAGGCACGATCTTTACTTGCCTTGCAGGTTCTGTACGTCTTTTGCAGAATTTTATTCATCTCTGTGTATCGTTTCGAGGCCTCGATATCATAAGGTGATACGTAGATCTCGTCTGGAGAGACGACCCTCAGGGGTTTTACATGCACCTTCCAGGGATCGTCCTCCTTGATGTCCTTGATCATGGGAGCGTCTTTCGTTGAAGCCTCTGACGAGCTCTCCTGCCGCTTCTTCAGCTTCTTCCATTTGCTCTTCTGTCGTCTTTGCTTCATCATCGTTGACTCTGGAGAACAAAGCAGCTCAGGAATTCTCTTGAGAGGCCGAGGTCTCGATGCCGGCCCTGTACTCTCGGCGAAACCCATCGTAACCAGTCGAGCGTTCAGATTCTCGTTGTTCTGAACATCGATCAGTGACACTAACCAGCAATCATCGGTCTTCCCGTAGGCGATGAGCTTGACGTACTCCTGCATCCATCCTCGTAAGTGTACCATTGCCTCGGGGGACCACTTGCCATTCACAGGGACCACATCTTTCAGAGATACTTTAATCGCTCGAGTGGCTGCCTTCATGAATTCCGTGTCCAACTGACGCAAATACTTGTACTCGATAATATCCTTAAATCCAAAGTCCACGTAGAAGACTTCGACCTGCTGTCTACCCGGGGTATCTACTATTACAGCGCGATACCACTTCCTCGCAGAGGAACGTGCCGCACAGATGAGACCAATCTCTGGTGTATAAACTTTTCCCCTTGTATGTTTATTCCTGTCATAGTCCCTCTGGAGATCATTCATCATCTTCGCGAACGTGGAGTCAGTGTAACTGGCCTTTCTCACATACATACAATTGGGATTGGCATCAGGATCGCAGGCCTCAGTGAGTGTAACGAATGTAATAATATCAAGCTCAAACCCATCGTTATGGAGCATAGCAATCGACTGAGGATTGATGCTGTACAGCTTCTTGTGATTCTCGTAAACCCCGAGATCGAGAAAAACCAGATGATCCCTGATGGACTGTGAGTACCATTTCTTTTTGTTGGGACAGAGGATGTCGATACCATCATCACTGTCCTCGTACTGTCTCATGATGAGTGTTGAGCCGTCAGCGTATTTAACAACTTCGAGCATGGCTTCACGAGCTGCTGGATCCCAGGTTGTCTTACCTTTGGGCTTGATGTCGTAGAGGGAGTGTTTCTCAGCGAGTTGCTCGATCTCGATCAGCGACCCCTCGAGCTCTCTGATATTCTCTTTGATAATTCCCTTCATCTGTGCACCAGTGTCAATGAACTGCACATCATAAGTCTTGATGTTTTTCTCTTCATCGGAAATACTGCCGATGATGGAAGCCCTTTGCCAGCAATCACCAGTATTTATAGCGTAGACTTTTCTGATTTTAATCTCCTCAGGTATCTCAGCGTGCTCGTAATTCTTGAGCTTCTCCTGGACTGTCGCCCAGTGAACGTTCCTCGAGGCATGGCGAATGAAGAAATGCGAGGGGGATTCTATGTGGGTGACGTAGACGTCGTAGTAAGTTTTTCTGGAGGTAGTATCCTGGGGGAGGGTCGGGGCGAGGAGGGTCTCGGTTGTGGGAGGTGTGCTGGAGGATTCCAGGGAGGATAGGGACATGGCAGACTGTGAGGCAATTGTCTGGGCGAAATCACTGTTCAGGAAGAGATCTGGAATGTTTGAGGCCTCATTTGACAGGTCTGGAAGATTGTCAACTGGCAGGTGAGATCTAGGCAGCAGCTGAGCTGACAGTGGTATTGCCTCCATATCCAGTCTGCAGTGTTTCTCCAGGCAGGGGACAATGTCCACCAGTTTCGAGTGGAATCTAGAATGGAGGTGAACTCTCGGTTTATTACCCTCGAAATTTTTTCATTTTCGGAAATCCGAAATAAAAAATTTTTAGGATGAACCTATCAAGGGTTCAAATTTTATTTAAAAATTATTGAGGGACAAAATTTTGAAAAAAAATTTCTTTTTTAAACAATTAGGGGGTAAAATTGAAAAATCAAAGGTCAACAACGGAATGATTTATCAATTGGAATAGTGAAAAGATCAACGAGCTGTTGAGTATCTTGTGATTACAGGGAATTTATTGCTCGCTTAATTATAAATTATTGGAGAAAATTATTGGAAAGGATTATTTGTCGAGTTTTTATTCAGTAGCAATGAATAAAATAAGTTAAAAGGCAATCGGGAGAGAAAAGGAATTTATCGCCTTTATTAATTGATTTATGTAGAATATCTAGAAAATTGATTGCCTTGAATTTTAATTCCAAATATTTGTTAAAATTTCCGTGAAGTGCTGAGTAAAATATTTTTAATCGAAATTTTCTAATCGAAAATGAAAGTGAGGAAATGCTGAATTGTTGAATAAATGGTGATGCTGAATAAAAAATGGAATTCAAGTTCTTCACAAATGGTCACTAGCCTATATCTCGACCTGTAAAACTGCCTTCAACTTCATCACCTTCACCTCGTCTGACTTCCCTTGAAGAGGTGGAATCAAGAATCTCCTTGTTCCACATTGAGGTAAAAATGAAAACTTGTTGAAGATAAATAATGAGAGAATGATGATAAGGATTGGAGTAAACTCACTGAATGTTGATGTTGGATTTTAGTGGATTTTGCGCCAAGTAGCACGGGCTCTCAGCAAGGGCGACGAGTTTTTCTATTACATCGGCGAGATGTACACTATCAAAATGCTGCTTTACAGAAGTCGCCACCTTTAATGCGATAGCAATAAAAATATTCAAAGATTGCACGTGAATTTGAGATAATATAATAAACAACAGACAAGACGTAAAAATCGGTATAAAGCCGTTGTCCTCTCGACAAAGACCCACCAAAATTCCAGCCTCCAGATCTTTCTCCGTCTCTTTGAGTTGCATATCAATCTCCTGCAGGTTTCTCTCCTGGAGATGACTCTGAGCCCTAACAGATTCAATAATTTTCCCTTCGATATTCTGAAGGACACCATGTAGATGCAAAAAATGTTGATTTATCTGGGCCTCGACGTTGGCGATGCTCTCCGTCTCCAGTGGTACCTCGAGGGACTCACCAAGTCTCTGCAAGAATAAATAGAAGGCGTAATAAAGACGGGAGATATTGCATTGAATTTAATTCATTAAACCGAAAGGAGAGAGGAAAATCATAGGCCTGTTGTATTGCATGAATAAGACTCTCTCGAGAGGTGAGAGGCCTCGGAGGAGCATAAACGAGGACAAGCAGCCTCTTCATCCTTCTCTCGGGATGGCCTCCCGCAAGACGACAGCGAGTGGAAATACTCGAGTGATGAAAAAAAAAGGGAAGAGAAAAAAAAAGTAGCATTCAGTGATGGCAGGAGGGGATAGGCCGGCACCAAAAGACACTCGAGTCGTGGCTTGTGGATTGGAATGGCAAGGGAATTGTGCCTCTCCATCGGCCACGATGTACTCAGTCTTTCTCGTTCCAACGTGAGGATAACCACGCGTTTTATCCATCCGCTGGTACCCGCTGGTAAATTTATTTGTCACCTCGTGCTGGCCTCGGTGGGGATTTCGTGTTCTCATTGTCGATTTTTATTTCACCGCATCATGACAACACCAGTGAGAACCTGAGGATGAACCCAATGGGGATGAGAGTCCTGGGGACGCTACTACTCGTCCTTTCATCTCAGATGCTGATAGCGGGTAATATTCATTATCAATTGAGAAAAATTCCGAAAAATAATTCTTTCACGTGGGGAATATTAACGCGATGCCCCGAAATGATAAGATTTCCTCTCGATTTGTTGAGAGAAGCGATGAAAAAAAATAATGATGAAGAAAATAAGGTAGGCAATCCGGATCCTAGCTGGGAGACGCTTTATCCCGGTAAATTAGATGCCTTTGAGTTTCTCCGGTTAATTATGGGGGATCGGCGAGGTCGAGATACAATCCCGTCCATCCCCTCAGAGTTTGTGTAAGAATAAGGGAATAGAGAGTACGGAGGATGCAAATCCTCGGTTTGGCCGGATATTAATCTTCCGTCGAAATGGTCGATCGATATCAACAATTTCACTGACAAGCCCCACATACCCACCATCCACCCACTTTTCCAAAGAGGGTGAGGATAACAGATCATCGCGGATCTTTGATCCTCTCGGGGATATCCCTTCGGCGCTACTGCAGAGTTAATTGAATCGCGCGTACCAAATCCAACCCGTAAATGCAACTCAACTCGATTCACTCGGTCTCTGTTGCTCCAGCAACTGTAGGTGAAAACCTCTGCCGATAGACTCGCGTCCATCCAACGCAACGACAGTTACCGCGGGGGTTAATTGCAGCAACTGGAGAGAGCAAAGGAGGGGGAGGGTATGACCTGTCTCACCCAGATATCAGAGTACTGCACGGGCAAACCTAGAAACCTCCTATTCACATTTTCCACCGACATTTTTTACCACCCCCTGACCGCCCAGTTTATGAATTTTTTAAATTGCCAGGGAGACGTGGCTATCCAACGATAACAAAAATTAATTATGTTGGTTGTGTTTGTAAACATTTTTTTTTATTCTGGACTGGACAACCGTGGGGAGGGGTGGGTGGGGTTGTTGCATTTTTGGAGGAAATTCATTTTTCATTGAGTGCACGGTGAGTGATTCCCGAGGCACTTTCGAAAAACTAATTAATCTTTGTTTAGGAAATTGAAAAGTCATGAGATTTTTTTCTAGTTTCCGAGGCTATTTACATTTTTGAAAATAAATAATAGAGTGTATGGGGATTTTGTAAATTATTTTTTATCAGCGAAAGAATTTACGCTGAGATGTGAGAAATCAATGCAGTTCTTGGATACATTGAACGAGAGCAAGGACAAGTAGAATGACACCATCGGTCTTGAATCCTTGAGAAAAGCAAAGCTCCTAACGAATCCGCAGGTTAAATTAAATAAAAATCTTGAGGCAACGGAAAAAATGAGGGAAATGTCGATTAAAAAAAATCCAGAAATCACTATTTCCTTTTTCCAAAAAAGACTATTTCTGTATTCAATATAATCCGCGGAAAATGATCGAGGAGGGAGACAGGGAGAGAGGAAGTGGCATATAAAATGCAAATGAAATAAAATGAAACGGTCAGGGGGTGGGTGTGGGTGGTTGGGCGGTTGAGGGGGCGAGGGGTCAAGGGGGAGGTGAGGGGGTGGACAGCCTAAGGCTCAAACGATAATTGAGAATGCTCTGTGTTTGTTTTTGCGGCAGAAAATCGGCATCCCTGTTCATCCAACTATGCATCCCCCTCTCACATTTTTTTAATTTTATTTTCATTATTTTCCGCATCTATTTCCATCCTACTTCTTGCATGAATCACAGGATACAATATACAATCCCCCCATCACCGGTTATAACCGATGAATCGATTAAAAATATCGGAATGGAGATAAATAAAAAAAAAAAGAGGGAAGGACTCGTTCTGGCGCGTTGTGGGGGAGTATAAAGTCAGGTACGCGTTATTATTTTATTTTCAACGGGAGATTTTATTATTTCTACGTTTTGCGGTTACGTGCTCCGATTTTATATGGAATAAGAGGGAATTCAGTGGTTGTGTTTTCCAAACTCGTGGAATTGCGGAAAAATCGTCAAAAGAATCCGCGAAACGCGTGCGCACGAGCGGAATTTTATATTGTTCTTTTTTTATTGTTGTGTATTTTTGTTGAGTCCATAAATGTCTGGTTGGTTATTGAATCGATGGAATTGTTTCCGTTTTGAAAAATGGGAAAATTTTCAGTTTGGATTTTCCTAAGGGCATGGAAGTTTTTTTTTTCAGTCGTTTTAGTCTTCCTTTTTTTTTTGAGGATTTGATGTGCAAGTACGCAATGCGAATATCCCGTGATCGATGTCAATCGATCGTAAAAAGGACTTTTAACGTTTGGGATTGACAAGAGTGGAAAAAGCGAACGGTAAAATATTTTTTTGCATAAGCTATGAAGTACCTGTGGACAAATCCCGGGGTAAAATTCTCGTTATACGATGGGAGAAAATGAAAAAACGAGGGGAAAGGGGTGGAATTTGAATAAATCCTCGTCTAATGCTCCGAGAATATTTTATTATACTGAATATCTGGATTTTGAATCGGTGGGGATAAAAGGAATTTTAGGAACAAGTGGAGTGAAATTTTTCGAGGGGTTCCGATAAATTTCGATACGTTTCGATAAACAAAATACATTTTTCAAGTGGCAATGATCATTAATTAATCGTGCATGGGGTACAGAGTGGAGATTGAAATTTGATTGATGATATGAGATTTTAAATTTCTGTTTGAAATTTCGTCGATTGGAATTGATGAGAAAAATCAAGCTTTCGAGTGAAAAGTGGATGGATCGAAGCCCCCGGTGGGAAAATGATATTTTTCGTTTAATCTCGTTAAATGAAAAATTGAAATAACAGCCCGTCATTTTAAAATCCAATCTTTCATCAGAGTTGGCTCATAAAACCTCAGGAATTCGATTCTATCTCGACGCACGCGAGCTAAAACGCAAATTCCAGAATGATATTACGCATTGACGTTGTCCATTATATTATTTACTGTGAATAGATATAATAAACCATGAGTTACAATGGACTGCGGAGAAAATAGTGAGACAGGGGAGACTGAACGATGGAGAAATCAAGAAGGCGTGTACATTTATGAATTAACTGCCTCTCAGTACGTAATATCGCATTGATGAGTGCGAGAAAGTACCATCAACCCATTTACATACTCACAATTTTTATTTCCCCTCAATTAGCGAGAAATTATAATGATGGCATCACCACCCGGAGAGAATAATTGACGAAAAATTTGCGTATCACATAATTTATCTGTGATGTTTAAATAAAAATAGTATCGGGATGAAATAAAAATAAAAATTCTAAAATGAAGGGAGAGAGTTCATCTCTCAGTGTAACTTTTGATTCCCCGGTGTAAATCCAGTAGCGAGATAATAATTCAATCACGAATGAGATTAATGCAGTCAAGCCACACGCACGTAAACTTGAAAGGAAAGGTAAAACGTGTGGTAATCTACAGCGTTGACATCAAGTTTAAACCCGTGACAAAGTGCGAGGGGGAGGGTTTTTAGAAAATTTCATAACTAATTACATTACCCCGTGAATGCACCCTCGGTGCACGCAAGTTGAATACTTCACTCGAGAAAACGAAAATACGAAGGGGAAAAAAAATTGATAAATATTCACAGGACTAACACGGAGATGTTTTACGTCATCGTGAACCTTGACCGTCACTCGTTATCCTCATTCAAATAAATAAATGCCCATTGAATTTTATCAGGATGTCTAACTGAATTATTTGACCCACCAAATGCAGGAGTCAATGGCAAAGGGTTTTTAAATATTTTCGACGAATGAAATTCAGTGGGAAAATCGAGGGGAGTGAGAGGCGGAGTGATACGAAGAATAATTATGTATTAAGGTGAGAGTGTAATTTATTCCGTGTAATGCATGTAAATTGAATGATAAAATTCAAATTCAATCAATGAAACTTCATGATTATTTCTTTTCGAATCTCTGACACTGCTTGAATAACAATTCATCAACAAATGGAAAAAAGCCATTTTTTATACCGGTGAATCCCCGAATCCTCTTTCCGATCAATTGCCTTCACTCAATCCCCTTTTCCGTGTTATAAAAATTGATAAAAAATTCAATAGTACATTTTCTTATTGACACACCAATTGGCTTTCCCGAAATAATGTTTCCATTCAGCCTGGTGAGAATCAATTGGCAATTTTTATTTCATCGGGTAGACGAGTCTGGAATATTTCCCCCAACACACGTTCCTGAGGTACGAGGAGGTGGAGATAATTCTGTTGATCCATCGAGGAACACGAGAGTTCTTATGAGATTTATCAAACACACCCCACCTCGGAAAAATTCCTCAGGAAAATTCGGTGGGATGAATTGAGGGTGTCGCACATGGTTTTTACCTCGGAAAATAATTTACCGACGTACGTTCTCGGGAATTTTACCTTCCCTCTATAAAAGAGAAAGAGAATTCAACGAGATTGAATCACCGATATTTCGACACGGAACAATCGCTCTCGTTCTATCCTGGGGATTGACCCTGACCAATCATTTTTTTCGGAGAAACCCTCTCAAGACAGATTAACTATTGCGTAATGGAAAAAAATGGAGTACTCCAGCTGGGAGAGAATAAACCAGTCGAGCCGGAAGTCAATTTCATCAGCGCAACCAATTTACTTTTTCATGTAAAGGTCAATTGAATTTGTTGTTCCAATAAATTCGATTTATTTTCATGTTTCATTGAATAATTTTCAAAGTTTCGAATAATAAAATTTATTTATCTAAATAAATGTCATCATAGAAATTTTCAACCGTGCGTAAAATGTCTCGCATGATGCGCCGAAAAATTTAATATAATTTCACTTTAATTTCACGCGATGGTGTTGTCGAATCGCTAGCTATTTTCCCTCGACTTTCTACTCTGCAATATTGATCATGCCACCCTGACAAAGGTACCCCCACTCACCCCCTCACCTGAAGGGATTTCCGTTGAATTTCGCGAGTGTCGTAAAAGTATGGGCGATCGTAAAGTTGAACTCGCACGAGCGGCTACGAATTTTATCTCCACCTCGTTTGACGGAAAACGCCATGGCAAAAAGAGTTTTAGGGGTTGGAAAGGTTCAAACTGGAGAATCGTCT